ACTGGACGCATTCTCCCTGAGAATGGGAACTAGACAAGGATGCCCACTTTCACCCCTCCTGCTCAACATAGTGTTGGAAGTCCTGGCCAGAGCAATCAGGTGAGGGAAGGAAATTAGGGGTATCCAAATAGGAAAAGAGGAGGTCAAGCTTATCCTTCTTTGTGGACAATATGATTCTATATATTGAAAACCCTAGGAAGTCTGTCAAAAGCCTCCTTGCACAGATAATCAACTTTGGTAAAGTCTCAGGGTACAAAATTAATGTGCAAAATACAGTTGCATTTCTATACACCAGCAACAAGCAGAGTGCCAAATAAAAGGTGCAATTTTATTCACAATAGCCATACACAAAAAAATTAAATACCTTGACATCCACCTAACCAGAGAAGTGAAAGACATTTACAATGAGAACTACACAATGCTGCTCAGAGAAATCAAGTACAGCACAAACGGAAAAACATTCCATGCTCATAGATTGGAAGAATCAATATTGTCAAGATATTTGAGGCAGTCTACAGATTCAGTGCAATACCCATTAAATTACTAACAACATCTTTCTCAGACCCAGAAATGACAATACAGAAATTCATATGGAAACTAAAAAGAGTACAAATAGCCAAAATAATCCTCAGCAAAATGAACAAAGCAGGAGGTATCACACTTCCAGACTTTACACTTTACTACAAGGCTACAATAACCAAAATAGCCTAGTATTGGTACAAAAATAGGCACACAGACCAATGGAACAGGACAGAGATTCCAGAAACCAAAAGTCAATCTCTAAACCAACTCATCTTTAATAAAGCCACTAATAACAACCATTGGGGAAAGGAGACCATATTTAGCAAATGGTGCTGAGAAAACTGGCTGACCACATGCAGAAGAATGAAACTGGATCCTACCTATCACCATATAAAAATCAACTCTAAATGGATCAAACTCTAAGAATCCTGGAAAAAACATAGGAAACACTCTCATGCACATCGAATTAGGTAACCAATTCTTGACCAAATCCCCAAAAGCAAGTGCCATTAAAGTTCAGATAGACAAGCGGGACCTCATCAAACTGAAAAGTTTTTGCACAGCAAAAGAAACCATCAAGAGAGCAAGAAGACAACCCACAGAATGGGAAAAAATATTTGCTAATTATGTATCTGACAAGGGCCCAACATCCAGAATCTACAAGGAACTCAAATGAGCTGAAAGGAAAAAAAAAAAATCTTATTAAAAAGTGGGCAAAGGACATGAATAGACACTTTTCAAAAGAAGATATACAAGCATTCAACAGATACATGAAAAAATGTTCAGCCTCACTAATCATCGGATAAATGCAAATCAAATCCACAATGAGATAACACCTAACTCCAGTAAGTATAGCCATCATTAATAAATAAATAAATAAATAAATAAAAATGTGGCATAGGTGTGAAGAAAAAGGAATACTTCTACACTGTTGGTGGGAGTGCAAGTTAGTTCAGCCTCTTTGGAAAGCAGTGTGACATTTCCTAAAAGAACTAAAAATTGACCTTCCATATGATCCAGCAATACCTCTCTTGGGAATATACCCAGAGGAACATATATCATTCTACCAAAAAGACTACCTACATATGCATGCTTATAGCTGCACTAATCACAATAGCAACCAACCTTACTGGTATAGTAGACTGGATAAAGAAAATGTGGTAAATATATACAATGGAGTATTATGCAGTCATAATGAAGAACAGAATAATGGACTTCACAGCAAATTGGATGGAGTTTGAGACCATCATACTTAGTAATCTATCACAAAAACAAAGAACTGAATACTGCATGTTCTCACTCATAAGTGGGACCTGAACATTAATCACATTAGCACAAGGGAGGGATGGGCAGTCACCAGACACTGCCAGAAGAAGATGGAAGGGGAAGGCACGTAACAACACAAAAGATACCAGATCCTAAACCAGGGGAAGTGAAGATCAGTTGGAGGCCCAAACTTCACCTACACACAGCCTACTTGTGTAACTAATCCTTACTTGTATCCCATGTCTAAAATAAAATAAATAATAAAGTGAAATAAAAGTTAAATTTATATAGGCTAGCAATGAACAAACCAAAACTGAAATTAAGAAAATCCTACTTACAGTAGCATTAAAAAAAAACTTAGAGAAATTTAACAAGAGAAGCATAAAGCCTATACTCTATAAAACATTGTTAAAAGAAGAAATTGAAAATCTAAATGAATGAAAAAATGTCCCATGTTCATAGATCAAAATAATATTATTAATATGGTAATACTCTTCGAATTGATCTACAGATTCAACACAGTATCTTTCAGTATCGTGGCTGGCTTCTTTGTGGAAAGCTAATTTTCTAAAATTTATATGGAACTTTAAGGAACTCTGTGGCTTCATAACTCCAATCTCTGTCTGCATCTTTACATAGCCTTCTTTCTATATCCTCTTGAGTCATTTCTCTGACTCCTTTTTTTTCTTTTTAATTTTCGAAGATGTGGGGTACAATTTAGGGTTAGGTATACAAATGTTCAGTATGCAGCTACTCTTGTTGATGAGGTGTGCCCCCTCCCTCCCCTGGCAGTTTCCCACTGCTGCCAATCCCACACTCCCTTCCCCTGGCAGTTTCCAACTTTTGCCAATCCCTTTCTTATAGTACTATGATAATTGTTCAAGGTCTGCTTATGAGTGAGAACATGTGGTACTCAGTTCTTTGTTTCTCTAATAGATCATTCAGTATTATAGACTCTAAGTCCATCCAAGTTGCTGCAGAGTTCATAATTTTGTCCTTATTTATGGCCGTGTAATATTCCCTTGTGTATATGTACCACATTTAAAAAATCCAGTCCTCTTTCCATGGGCAGCAAAGTTGGTTCCATGTTTTTGCTATCATAAATAATGCTGCAATAAACATGTATGTGCAGGTATCTTTTTCATAGTTATTTGAGTTCCTCCGGGTATATTCCCAGTAGGCAAATTGTGGGATCATATGGAAGGTCGATTTTTAGATCTTTTAGGAATCATCAAACTGTTTGCCACAGAGGTGGTACTAGTTTACACTCCCACCAACAGTGTAGAAGTGTTCCCTTTTCCCCACGTCCTCTTCAGCATCTGTTGTTTTTTGAGTTATTGATGATGGCCATCCTGTCTGGAGTTAGGTAGTATTCAGTGTGGTTTTAATTTGCATTTCTTTGATGACTAGTGAGGCTGAGCATTTTTTCATGTGCCTGTTGGCTGCTTGTACGTCTTCTTTTGAGAAGTGTCCATTCATATCTTTTGCCCACTTTGTAATGGGGCTGTTTTTTTCTTTATTTTTGGCATGTTTGAGTTCTTTGCAGACCTTAGATGTTAGGCTTTTGTCAGGCATACAGTTGGCAAATATTTTTTCCTAGACTGTGGAGAATTAAAAGCCTAGACATTCAGTCCCTAAGAGTTTATGCCACCTCCAGACCAGCTCTACAAGAAACACTTAAGAAAGTATTAAACACAGAAGAAAAAAAAGAATGACAACACCCTTCCCAAGAATGCAGGAAAAAGATTGAAAACACACATATATCAAAAATTAAAAGAAAGACAAAAAATAAACAAACAGCAGCAACAATAAACTCTATGAGAACCTCATGACAGGGGTATACTCTCACATCTAAATAATTAGTCTGAATGTAAATAGACTAAATGCACCACATACAGAATGGCAAATTGGATAAAATATCATGATGCAACAATGTGTTGTCTCCAAGAGACTCATCTTACCAGAAAGGACACTCACATACTCAAAGTAAGAGTATGGAAAACAAATTTTCAGGCCAATGGAACACAAAAGAAAGCTGGAGTTGTGATCTTATTATCAGACAAAATACCCTTTAAGGTATCAAAAATTTAAAAAGATATGGAAGGTCACTACATAATTGTAAACATTTCAATCCACCAACAGGAAAAACTCCTTTTTTTTTAAGAATACCAGTCATTGGCTTTATGGCCCTTGTAAATCCAGGATGATCTCATCTCAAGATCCTTAACATAATTACATCTGCAAACTATCTGTTCCAAATAAGGTCACATCCACAGGTACCATGGATTAGAAATGGCATATATCTTCTTTGAAGAGATGCTTTTCAACCCATGACAGACCTTTACAATGTAGTTTTAAAACTAAAAATACAAGTTGATATAGTATACATAGAGGTATTTTCCTAGGCATCAGACAAAAGATAATTGCTCTCTTAAAAGGTATATGTTGTATTTTTTATTTAGTAAATACTTAGAGTTTTGAAAACTGAAGAAAGCTGTTCTTACATATATCAGTCTAGAAGAACAAATGCTTCTTGAATGTTTATAATCTGTTTTTGGTCATGAATATACAGTGAAATTTGGAATGTTTATTTAGGTTATGTAAATTTAATATGCTTTAATAAACAGGATTGTTTATAAGACATTAATGATTGTTGTTCACACAATAAATTGTTATGATGGCAAAAAATAAAAATAAAAAATAAAAATACATCAAAGTCCTAAGTGGATGAGCCATAAAAATCTTAGAGGAGAACATAAAGATAAACTTCATGATCTTGAACTTGGCAATAAAAACATGAGAAACAAAAGAAAAATTGATAAATATGACATTATCAAAAGCAAAATAAGAATGGGAAAAATATTTGCACATATCTGATGAGGGACTTGCTACTAGAATATATAAAAAAACTCTTTCAATTCTGTCATAAAAAGACAACACAATTTTAAAATGGACAAAGGACCTGTATAGACATTTTCCTCAAGATTAAGTGAGATTAAATGAGATGCCACAGAATTTTTCTTCCCTTACTTACTCAAAGAGGTGCAAGCTACTCATATGTACATTTTAAAACACTACTTTCTGTTTTTTGATCTTGGGAGAAACTTTACTTAACTGCAATGGCATTTTTCTTTAAGTTTATAAATAAAATATAAAAATCTGAATGTAATCTCTTCTTTTTTCTCTTCCTTCCCTCCTTTTGTACTTTAAAGGGAGTTTACACTGGAAGAGTACTTAGCCTTCAAGAATTACTGATCCAAGTTGGGAAGTTAAATGCTGAAGCTGTTAGAGGTCAGTGGGCCAATCTTTCGTGGGAATTGCTTTATGCCACAAATGATGATGAGGAACGATATAGTATACAGGCTCATCCACTACTTTTAAGAAACCTTACAGTACAAGCAGCAGATCCTCCCCTGGGATATCCGATTTATTCTTCAAAACCTATCCATGTACATTTTTATTAGAGCCCATTTTTGACTTGTAGTGTCATCAAACAAAGTGTTATATTTTCATCCTAAAAAAGTAACAATATGATTCTTATAACTTCACTGAACTTCTCCCACCCTATTCAGATGCCTGAGCAAAGCTAAGGTCCATATAGTTGATTCTCTTAGCCATCTTAAGGTTTCAGAAACAGCAGCAACATTTTTATGTCTAGCATGAGTTAGAACTGTTTGTGTCCTATGGATTGTAGTAGGGTTTGGTAAATGATAAAACATTTGTATAAAATTAGATAGTGGTTTTATAATGCTTTCTTAAATGTGTGATGGGTGAGTTGCCTTACAAAAGTCAACAACTATGTAATTTTTTAAGTACTGAAAAGATATACATATCAGTGTTTGTAGGCAGTGATAATAGATTGTATTCAAGGTTAACATAATGTATATATATTTATTTGAAATGTAATTTTTACAATATTTTCAAATGTGTTATTTTATTTTAACATGTAACATGGTCTGAATGTTTTTATATAATGTATTTCCTTTTCATATATTTCAATTCAGAGACCTTAAAAATTTTAATAAAATATTTCCCAATAAAATATTTTTCTTCCTTTTCAAATATCCTTTTGATATATGTGAAAAGAACAGGGTTCACCCATTCATTATATGAAATCACAGGATAATCTGTAATTATGATCACTAGAGGCCATTCCATAGATCTGACTTGTTATACATTTCTCTCAACTGAATTTACTGTTTTGAAGAATTATTTACCCAACTACCAACTACTAGTATCTTAAGGTATGTGAACTAAAATCATAAGGAAATGGGAGGAAAATTTTTATAATGTGATCAGAATTCTATTTTCATTATCTTCCTGCTTAGGAACTTTTTACAGGTACATATAAGGGGGGCAAACAATGAATGTACATCTGTTGAGAGATGAATTTTCTCTATTCCTTACTTAATTTTCAACTAAATCTATGGGAGCCCACTAGATTGGAAATATAGTAATGCATTCTCTTTAGAAATTAAAATTATTTGAAATGTGCCAACAGGCTTTTAATATTATTATTAAATTTATTTAGTATATGGCCCAGTTCACACAATGTAAAATTTTTAAATTTTTTTCAGTTAATGAATTCATGAGATTGTATGTTAACCTATTTTTGGAGGCAATATAGTATAGTTATTAAGAAGATAAGGGTTTTTTTTTTTTTCCTTCTTTTTTTGAGTTGGGGCCGCATGCTGTCTTCCAGGCAGTAGTGCGGTGGCACAGTCATGGCTCACCACAGCTCCAACATTCTGAGCTAAGAAAATCTTTCTGCTTCAGCCTTCTGAGTTCAGCTGTTTTGTTTTGTTTTGTTTTGTTTTGTTTTGTTTTGTAGAGATGACGTCTTGCTCTGTTTCCCAGGCTAGTCTCAAATTCATGGGCTCAAGCAATCCTCCCATCTTAGCCTCCCAAGATACTGAGATTACAGGTGTGAGCCACCGTGCCCAGCCTAGAAGATAGGATTTTGTATTACTCTAAGTTCAGGTCTCAGGTTTATAAATTATTTTACATAATAGAAATTTTTCTGGCCAGAAAATTTTATATATATATTTTTGTCTTTTAGGAAAATTTTCTCATTAAGAATACTTTCTAATTATCAGTTTTAATCACTGTATAACATTCCATTGATAGATATAATTTATTTGACTGTTATCCCCCAAATAATGGGAATTTTAAGTTGTTTAGAGATTTTCACTATAAGAATAATGCTAAGCCTTGCCTTCCCTGTCCTTGTATCTTTTTTAAACTGCTCCAATACCTCTGTTTTATTTATGGCCATGTTTCCTCTTTTGTTTACTTGTCATACCATTCCAATCTGGATTTTATCTCTACTGCTCCCCCAAATAAAAGTTTTTATTAAGATCACTGTTGACCTTCATATTGTCAAACAGGCTGGTCACTTTTATGTCCTTATCTTACTTGTCCCTTAAGTAGCACCTGTCACATTTGATCACTCTAAATTAATTTTTTTGTGTCTTTCTTTTTTTTTGTAAGTACACAATATAGTATTGTTAACCTTTTGTGTTTTCTCTTGAGCTTTCCTGATACCACATTGTTTTCTATCTTCCTGGAAACTCCTTAATCACCTTTGCTGCTTTTCCTCTTCTAAATTTTAGAATTTGTCAACCATTGGTTCCACTTCCCCTCTTCTAATTCTACATTTACCATAAACTCGTCTGTTTTTTATGCTGAACCTATATATCTAACTTGATATCTCTACTTATATTAAAAACTGACCTTACTGAATTTTCTCTGAAACCTACTTTGCTACTTCCAACTTTTAGTAGTGCATTCACACCATCCATTTCATGAAGAACTAGAAAAGCTGAGCAAAATAGTAGTTCTAAAATCTGATTAAAAACCTTTGAGAACCGAAAGAGTGAAAAATTACATTAAGATCCAAGGCAGAATGAAACTTAGAGACCTGAGCTCAACATTTGGGCTGCTTTACTTCTAGGAGCACATGCCAATTCCAGAAAAGGTAGTTGAGAGTCTGAGAAGCTAAGTAGCACTTTTGACAGCCTTGCTGCTAAGTTAGAGGGGTAAAAATTAGAGTTCAGGGCTTTTCAAGAAATTGGGGCAAGGGAATGGCATGGCAGGAAACTTAGTAACTGAGAATACGGTGGATTATGACCCCAAGGGCCATATTCTAATTTCAAGTGTGAACAAACAAAAAAATAGATGGAGTTTGAATCTTCTCACTTCCCAAAATGATTAAGCTGACTCTTTCTGTGACACCTAGCTACTACCCAGAGCAAGTATAAATTCTCTCTGATCCACTATTTTGATTGTTTTTACAATTTTAATATTTAACGTTGAAAAGTCTATTTATTTATTTTTATTATTTTTTGAGTTGGAGTCTCACTCTGTCACCTAGGCTGGAGTACAGTGGCATGATCATGGCTCACTGTAGACTTGAGCTCCTGGGCTCAGACAGTCCTTCTGCCTTAGCCTCCTGAGCAGCTGGAACTATAGGCAAGCTTGATCACGCCTGGCTAATTTATTTTATTTTCTGTAGAGACTAGGTCTCACTGTATTGCCTAGGCTGGTCTCGAACTCCTAGGCTCCAGCAGTCCTGTCACTTCAGCCTCCCAGAGTGCTGGGTTTACAGGTGTGAGCCACTGCACTAGGCTGGAAAGTCAATTTAAAATAAGGCATGTGGACAGGTGCAGTGGCTCAAGGCTGTAATCCCAGCACTTTGGGAGGCTGAGGTGAGGGGATTGCCTGAGTCCACAGGTTCAAGAACAGCCTGAGCAACTTAGCAAGACCTCATCGCTACAATAAATCAAAAACTTAGCCGGGCATGGTAGTACACACCTGTAGTTCCAGCTACTTGGAAGGCTGAGGCAGAAGTGAGAGGGCGAGGACCATAACAGTTCAAGCTAAAAGCATGGCATATAACTTCAATTTTGTAATCAGTTTATAATTAACTAATAAGCAATAATAGCACAGCCATTTTAGCTTCCTAACTTTCAACCTGAATGTAACTTGCAGCTACTTGCAGTTTCAGTCACAAGAAAAACCACAAGATAATAGCCTAGGCTGCAACCCTTCCCCTTACCACCCACCACCCCCTAACACCAACCAATCGGGTAATGATAAAGGGATATCTAAAATTCCAGATGTCTCAGCAACTTCCCCAGTTGACAGACCGTGGTCTGAGGTTGGTGGTCTGAGGTTGGCTAAAACAAGATGGACCAATCCCATTCACATGTGGTAACCACTAATGTTTGCTATCCAATAAACTATTAACGAATTTGGAAATCCCCCACCAAGCTCCCTCCTCTCTGTAACCGCAATAAAAATCGCCTGCTTTGGGAGTTCGGGGCCTCTGAGTGCACTCCGCTGCGTCAGTTGGCCCAGAGGTCCAGGCTCAAGCTTGCAAATAAAGACCCTTTTGAATTTTCATCGGAATTGGCTCTTGATGGTCTCTCGGATCGAACTCGGCCACAACAGAAGGATCACCTGAGCCCAGCAGACTGACACTGGGGTGGCCGTGAGCATGCCACTGCAATCCAGCCTAGGCAATGGAGTGAGACTCCAACTCAAAAAATAAATAAAATAAAATGCATCTGAGGAAACAAGACAGCATGATCAAAATCCAAGAGAAGCAATAGACAATAGGAACAGACTCCTATGGAACCCAGATAATGGAGTTTCTAAACACAGGCTCTAAAATCATTATATTTAGTGTGTTTAAAGATCTAAAAAAAGACAGAATGTCAGCAGAGAAATGGCAATTATATAAAAGAATCAAGAGATAAGTTCTACATGTAAAGTGCATTAGTCAAGTTTAAGAATTCAGCGAATTGTTTGATCGAAACTAGATACGGCTGAACTAGTAGGCCTGAAGTATATACCTGATATGAAAAATGAAAAGACAAAAGAATGGAAGCTACAGTAGAGAGAATAAGAGACATGAAGTTAACATGTGAAGATCTAAATATGTGGAATTGGAATTTCAAAAGGAGGGGAGAGAGAATGTAACAGAAACAACATTTGAGGAGACAATTAAGGAAAATTTTCCTTTTTTTAAAAAAAATCTTGAGACAGTAGCTCACTCTGTTTCCTGGGCTGGAGTTCAGTGAAATGCAATGGTGTGACCATAGCTCACTGTAGACTTAAATTCCTGGGCCTAAGTGAAATTTTTCAAGTTCGTAAAGGACATTCAGCCCAGTAAAATCCAAGTATGATAAGTAAAACCACACCTCAGCATATCATAAGAAAAAACAAATAGGAAATAGTAAAAGTAGCCAGAGGGATAAAAGATACTATTTTTGAAGGAGCAACAGTTTTATTAAACTGACAGCCAACTTCTCAATGGAAAATAGGAAAACCAGAAATCAATGGAATGATATTTTCAAATTGCTGAAAGAAAATAACTGCAAATTTAGAATTCCATACCCAGCATGCCTTTTTCTTTAATAGGAGTCTCACTCTGTCACCTAGGCTGTCACTATGCAGTGGCATGCTCACAGCCACCACAGCCTCAACCTGCTGGGCTCAGCCTTCCAAAAAAACTGGAACAACAGCACGCACCACCATGCCCAGTTAATTTTTTTATTTACTGTAGAAATAAGGTCTTGCCAAGTTCCCCAGGCTGGTCTCAAACCCTTGAGCTCAGGCAGTCCTCTCACCTCCACCTCCCAAAGTGCCTGGATTACAGGTGTGAGCCACCACACCTGGCAATACCCAGCCTTTCACCCAAAACAATTCAAGAATGAAGGCAGAGACACTTTCAAACACAGTAAACTCAACAGCAGATTCTCATTAAAATAGTAAAGGGTATTCTTCAGACAGAAGGAAAATGATCCAAGAAAAAGGGATAAAGGAAGTAATGAACAGTAATTTAAAAAGATAAACTTATGGTTAAATTTAAGTGAATATTAACTATATAAAATAGTTTTGACGGTTAAAATAAATATAATGTTAAAATACATAATAGTATATAAGTTTGGTGTAGGAGTTCTAAGATCTTTGCATTATCAAAAAGAAGTTAAAAGTACCAAGTAATATTAGGCTTTGCTATGTCCTCTTTACAGGGTAACCACTAAAAGAATAACAAAATGCAAAACAAAAACAAGCAATATAACTACTAAGCTAATAGAGAAGGAAGTGTAATAATAATAAGGCAAAAAATGAGAGAATAGATAATATAAAATAAATATGACAAATAGAAATCAAATAATAGATTAGGAGATTTAAACCTAAATATCAGTTGCTGCATTTAAGTGTGAGTCAACTGAATGTACCAGTTAAATGAAAAGATTATCAAACTGATAACAAAACCCACAAAATATCCTTTATAATGAGATAATTTAAATATAGGAATACAGAGTTTGGAAGTAAGCAAGAATGGAAAGAGAGTATGAAACCAAAAAAAAAAAAGGGGAAGTTGCTCTTTGGTAGCTACAGCAACATCATTCAATGTAGACTTTACCTTAAGGTGAAAAGTATCACAGAGACAATTTATAATGATAAAAATATTTGATTCACCAGGAAAGTTCAAAATTCTAACTTTTTAATGATGGTAACAGTCTCAAATATATAAGGGGACCTATTTCATTCCCATGCATAAATGCAAAAATCCCAAACAAAATACTAGCAAAGTAAATTAAATACCTACACTTGTGCATCACATAAGTTGCAGTCAAATTGAGTTTCTTTCTGAAAAAATGAGGTTTCTGTGATAGTTGAAAATCAGTGTAATTCAACACATTAGCAGAATGAAAGGAGAAAAATCATATTTCAGTAGACTCAGAAAAAGTATATGATACAATCAATATCCATTTATAAAAATAGTTGCCCTTTTAATATTCTTCATTATTCTCATGCTGAATGTGCACATTAGGTGTTCAGGATCAGAAACAGATTTCTTATTACCTTGGAGTAAATAAGCACTCCCCTCCCCGCATTAGTCCATACACCAAGGCAACATAATAAGAACCCACGGAAATTTTTCCGATATAAGTGGCCAAACACTCCTAGACAAGAGACAAGGAAAATTATTTTTTCCTGTTTTTATTTATTTATTTATTTATTTAATTTTTTTTTTGAGTTGGAGTCTCACTCTGTTGCCCAGACTGGAGTGCAGTGGCCGCTCCCGGCCACCGCAGCCTCGACCTGCTGGGCTCCGGCGATCCTTCTGCCTCAGCCTTCCGAGTAGCCGGAATTACAGGCGCGCTACCACGCCCGGCTGATTTTTTAATTTTATTGTAGAGATGAGGTCTCGCCTGCCCAGGCGGGTCTCGAACCCACGGGCTCAGGCAATCCACTCACCTTAGCCTCCCAAAAGTGTGGGATTACAGGCTGAGCCACCGAGCCCGGCTTTTTCCTGTTTTTAAAGGAGAAAGAGGTAGCTGTCCTCTTCCCTTCCTGAAAGGGTCTCCTGTTACTCTAGCCCTGTGGTACACAGGTCCGTAGCCTGTTAGAAACTGGGCCACACAGCAGGAGGTGAGCAGTGAGAGCTAAGCTTCATCTGTATTTACAGCCACTCCCTATCACTCACATTACCACCTGAACCCACCTCCTGTCTGATCAACACTGAAAAGCCTGCTTCCATTTCAAACATCCTATCTTTGTGAAGCAGGGTTTTCTGCAGTGACAACAACCAAAACGAGATTACAGAGTAGGCTGGACATGAGCAACACACTTGGGGTGTCACTGTCTTCCATCACCCCTAGATGGAACCATCTAGTTACAGGAAAATAAGCTCAGGGTGCCTACTGATTCTGCATTATGGTGAGTTGCATAATTATTTCATTGTATATTACAACGTAATAATAATAAAAATAAAGTGTACAATACATGTAATGCACTTGAATTATCCCAAAACCATCCCCACCTCCCACCCCCATCTGTGGAAAAATCGTCTTCCACAAAACTGGTCCCTGATGGCAAAAAGGTTGGGAACCACTGCTTTAAAGACTTCTGAAAAAAGAAATCTTCAGACCCAAGTGCTCTGGCTTGTTTGAGATTCATCCACGCTGCTGCATGTATCAGTAGTTCATAGTTCAGCTGAGTAGTATGGTGTTGTATGGAATATACCACAATTTGTTTATTCTTTTCACCTGTTGATGGATATCTGTGTTGTTTCCAGCTTTTGGCTGTTATATGAAGTTGCTATGAACATCATTTACAAGTCTTTGTGTGGACATATGCTTTCATTTCTCTTGGGCAGATACCTAGGACTGGGATGGCTACATCATATATAATATTTAAAATTTTAAGAAACTGCTGGCCAGGTGTAGTGGTTCATACCTATAATCCTAGCACTTTGGGAGGCAGGGGTGAGAGGATTGCCTAAGCACCAGGATTCAAGAACAGCCTGGGCCAACTAGGCAAGACCTTGTCTCTACAATAAATGAAATTAGCCGGGCATGGTGGTGTGTACCTGTGGTTCTAGCTACTTGGAAGGCTGAGGTGGAAGAATCACCTGAGCCCAGCAAATTGAGGCTGTGGTGGCCATGAGTATGCCACTGCACTCCAGACTGAGTGACAGAGTGAGATTCCAACTCAAAAAACAACAAAATAGCTAGGCCAGGTGTAGTGGCTCAAGCCTATAATTCCAACACTTTGGGAGGCCGAGGTGAGAGGACTGCCTGAGTCTAGGGGTTCGAGACCAACCTGGGCAACTTGGGGAGACCTCGTCTCTACAATAAATCAAAAAATTAGCTGGGCATGGTAGCATATGCCTGTAGTTCCAGCTAACTTGGAAGGCTGAGGTGGAAAGACCACCTGAGTTGAGACTGTGGTGGCTATGAGGATACCACTGTGGTGTCCATTAGCATACCACTTTTTCAGCCTGGGTGAAAAAGTGAGACTCTGACTCAAAACAAAACAAAACAGAACAGCTAAACCATTTTCAAATTAATTGTACCATTTTACATTTCTACCATATATACTAAGTATATAGTTACATTCATATAAAATGATAATATGCAAACTAATCTACAGTAACAAGCACATTGTTGGTTGCCCGGAGTGGGGTGGATGAGGGGAAGTCATTAAAAAGGGGCACAGGGAAACTTTGGGAATTGTGGATATGTTTACTCTTTTAATTGTGGGTGTGGTCTCACAAATATAGCCATATGGCAAAACTTACCAAATTGTGCACTTTACATATGTACAGTTTACTGTACACTAATTATGCCTCAGTAAAGGTGTTAGAAATAATAGTATAATGTTTATCAAATCTGCCTTTGAATAACTAACTGTGACTTAGGCCTCATGTGACTTACTGGTGGTGATCCCAGTAGTTGAGCAGACTAACCGTAAAACCAAAACTTCTGCTCTGCTCACCCTTTTATCAACTTACCTTCTGTCACTATACAACCCCAGCTACACCTCAGTTTCAGCATTGGATAAATGAACATACCATTTTCTTCCTACTTCAAGGGGCCATTCGAGACAATGAATGCGAAATATGTCAATGAAGAGTAAACACTCAGAAAGGTTAAATATGAACACTTAGTTCGCGACTGTCTTTGACAAAATGAATTTTGACTTGAAGCTGCCTTTTCCATCTTGGGTTGCTAACAAAAGGAGCTAAAGAGAAAAGAGGGTGTGTGTACAGAGAAAACCTGCATAATCAACCACATGCCATAAAAAATGCCATATTTAAAATTTATGAAGACTTCAATTTATATATGCCTCTTCTAGCCCACATAGGCAGGAGTTGAACAAAGTAATCTTTGCCTTTTCCTTCATCCCCATATCATGTTCATTTCGGTCTCTATGAGTTTCATTCATGACATTCTGGAGGAAAGAAATGCCTGCCTTCCAACCTAAACGTTGGTGGGACTATGCCAGGCAGGCACTGGAGTTTCGGTGACAAATAAAACAAATCTGACCTGAAATCTGGCTTCCTGAAGCTTTTCTTCCTCTGTCTAAATGACCCTATTCCAAGGCTTGGTGCAAGACACCTTATCCAGGAAAGGCTTCCACACTATTCTCTGCAAATTTCCCTTTTCTGAACTCCAGATGTGCTTACAGTCTGTACCACACCACATGACATATATGTTACTTTGTAGCACTCTAGAAATATTCCATTCTTTTAGCTTTTACATCAAGTGTGTTGTATTCAATAGATCATATTTCATAATTCCCATTTTCATCACTGGTCATACAAGTACCATCTCTTATTTATATTCACCCCCATTCACCAGCCTTGGCAACTTGGCGAGATCTTGTCTCTACAATAAACCAAAAACTTTAAAAAATTAGCCAGGTTTGGTGGCACACACTTGTAGTTCCAGCTATTTGGGCGGCTGAAGCAGAAGGATTGCCTGAGCCCAGCAGGTTAGGCTGTGGCGGCTATGATCATGCCACTGCACTCCAGCCTGGGCAACAGAGACTCTGACTACCACAAAGTAAAACCAAAATTTAGTCTTCAGTTAGTCTTCGGTGCATAAGAAGATTGCTGCTTTCACGTTTTCCATTTCTCACTCCATGACTTGAAAAGTGCAAGTGCTCCTTTCAGCTATTTTTTTTCTTGAAGAATTTAAAGTAAGAGGAGTCTGCATCCTATAAGAATGACGGAAACATGAATCAGTGCCTCCTCTTAGTTACCCAAAATTTTGACAATTAAATCCTGTTTTGAGGAGCTATATCATTATGATTCACATTAAGAAATCCTTATAAAACTTAGGCAAATGCTTTGGTTGGGATAGAGTCATAGCTAAAACTATAGATCTGCACAAAAGTGTTTCCACTGGGATTAGCATCATCTGCTCTATCTAGTACAAACAGCATCTGTTCATGCCATTTCTTAAATAATAAAAGACCTATTATTACTCTTCTGGATCAGCATATCAGACCTACACTGACTTGCCCTAATAAATCAAAGAATAAGAATAAAAGAACTAAAGTAACAACTAAAATTATTTGAGAACTTTTAGAATATTGTTCAAAGAATAAAGCAAGGCATCCTAAGATGTGATGTTTCATATAGGAAGATATGCATTCACCACTTCTAAAAATTGCACTAACAATGACATAATAATGATAACACAAAATTCAGTTTAATCACTGCTCTTGATTCCTAGAAATAATAAAATTTCATAAAAACAAAGGTCCAGACATAATGTTCTTAGCCTAAAGGACAGAAGCAAATTCAAGTATTATCAACAAGTATAATTAGCTTGGAATAAGCTATATTGGCATTTTCTTAGCTTAGATGCTTATAAACATATGTCAGTACAGAAATGGATAGGCATGAAGTAGAAAATAATGGGGGAAGGGAAGAGTTAAGAGGCAGTGGAGAGAATGGTGTAAAAAAATGGGAAGAACAATTTTTTAACATTAATATAGTTTGTGTAAAGAATGAGGTATCATGTCCACAAAATGACAGTGGGAAATGAGAGAATGACCAGTTTGTCATGAGAAAGAATGATAAAGCAATAAGACACATAAGCCATATTTTTAAAATGTGGTAGAAAGAAAAAGGCCACCATCCTTTTCTAAAGCTAGATGTTATCAAATGCTAGATTTGCTCAGTGATGTTTATATATTACAGTTAGATATTTTGTAAACAAAACAAAATAACTTCATATGAACATTTCTGAAAGAAATTACTGCTACTGTGGAAGTGAAACCTCTAGTCCCTGGTCTCTCTTCCTCTCTGAAAATGATATTTCTATAATGTATTCCTTCTCTGCTCTATTATTTAAATGGTTGAAAATGTGAACTGATATGGAGGTTCCTAAAAAATTAAAAGTGGAAGTATAATATAATCTAGCAATTCCAATTCTGGGTATATATCCAAGGGAAATGAAATCAGTATCCTGAGGAGAGAGCTGCACTACCATGTTCACTTCAGCATTATGCACAATAGCCAAGGTAGAAAATCAATCTAAATGTCTATCAATGAGTGAATGGATAAATAATATTTAAGTATATAAAAATTAATAAGTGCAGCCATAAAAAAAAGATGAAAATCCAAGCAAGATACAGAAAGACAAATGCTGTATGATTTCACCTATGTGGAAACTAAAAAAAAATGAAACTCATAGAAACAGAGCAGAATGGTGGTTTGTAGAGGATGGAGAAAATGGAAGATGTTGGCCAAAGGGTACAAACTTTCAGTTATAAGAGGAATAAGTCAAAATTCAAGGGATATGATGTACAGCATGGTGACTATAGTTAATAACATTATGTTGTATATTTGAAATGTGATGAGAGAGTAGATCTTAAATGTTCATACCACACACAAAAAAGTAACTGCATGGTGATGGATGTGTTAATTAGCTTGACTGTGGTAATTTATACATCATATACACTGTACTTTTACAATGTGTAAGTACATCAAATCACGCTGTATACCTTAAATAAAACAATTTTCATTTTTCAATTAAAAGATAAAAACAAACTTTGATCTTTACTATATGTAGGTGGACAATCCTGCTACCATCTATCTCAGGATAAGAAAAAAACAGTCAACAACTAACATTTATGACATTCCAGGTTGTGTTCAAGTGCTTTCCTTATAAGTAAACAATGGCATCTCTATGACTTCAGGAATAAGTTAAAGCACCAAGTACTATGCAGTGCATACATCTGTTTAACAGTGCAGTAAGTGTTTTTCCAGGAAAGCACAGGGGCTGAGGTGTACCTAGTCCTGGGGATAAGTGGGAATGAAGGCTAGGTACCCTTCTAAGGAGGTGACACCCTGAGCTGACAGTGGTAGGATGAGTAGGAGTTAGGAGAAACAGTGGGGAAAGTGATTTTGACATTTACACTGGTCATATAGTAAGTGTAGAAGGAAAAATAGCAATCTTTGATTCGATGTTGCCTTGTAGAAAACTTCTCCAAGACTAGTAATAATGTATAATAAATCAACAAATACACATAGGAATAGAATACTTTCTATATATTCTTTTTGTATTTATATCATAAGATTGGTGGAGGATCAGTAAAGTTTTGGAAGCACTGGAAAATTTTGTAATTTCCTGCAAGATTGATACATATTATTAAGAAAGGTATAAATTGGTCTTACCACACCACTCTTAAAGTTCTCAATCCTTTTCTTCCCCATCTTGCTGGTTATCCAAAAGGCCCAGGTTGGCATGTATTGCCACAAATATGCTACTGACAAAAAAGGCTGATCTGAGATCCAAACTTCTTGCAAATCATTGGCCATACTGATTAACATCAGCCGCACACAACGATTGGCTGCCATCTTGTAGGACTGGTCTCCATCATTGCCTACACTCTAGGAAAATTTAAAAATTAAGTGAATGCTGAGTATTTATCAAGCTATTTCACAGAACTTTTAAGCTAAAAAGGACCCGAAAGCCATCTAATTGAGTGGTTCCTTTAATGGGGCCTCATGCCCTTTAGGAGTCCCCATAGGTACGAATAGGTTTACAAACTGTTATAATATTTCAAAAAGCCTAACAAATCATACATTTAGCAGGTAATATTGTACAGCCTAAGTAAAAGATGGAGATCCTTTTCTTCTAATTAGAACTGCATCATCTTAATGTGCTTAATGATAATTATTACTTTAGCAATAAAAAACAAATGATTACGACATGCACTTAGTAAACAAAATCCCAAAAAACATAAAAGTCCATGGGGATGAAATGGAGGAAGAAGATAAAAGGAGGCTTATGGTAGTGAAAGATATATGTTACATAATAATGGTCACATAATAGTGGACCACCTATAAGTGGTATCTTAGCAATTTAATTAGCCTTTATTCAAACTGGTTGCCAAAGCACTATCAGCAAACTTTAACAATTTTCATAATGCATGAGTTAAGTTTTGTGAATAAATAAAAAGCAGTTCTAAATATAAACCCTGGTGTATATACAGTGATATAATGCCAATATATAAGTAGTAAAGCATTCAAATCATTCACAACTGGAAATTTTTACCTTTGTGACTTCTTCAGTTAGGGCATTCTTCACAATATCTGACTGCACAGGTCCTGGGCAAATGTTGGAAACTGTTATACCTGGGTAGGTGGCAAGTTCAGTTCGAAGACCATTAAAAAAACCCTAACAGACCAAAAGTCAAATAAAACATAAAGAAAAAAAAGTGCAAATAAATACATGCATATATCTCATGATTTATCAAAATGTTTTCTAAAATGCCTATAATAGATGGGTAGCATAACAGTGCAAGCTTTATTAGGCACTTTTAACTGGAGGCTATCTAGAACATTCTCAGCTCTTTCCAGGTGCAAATGGTTCGCTCCCTTTGGTATTGATGGCTCTTGCTGTCAATGATTCTTAAGGTAGGCATGCACTGGCCCGGTGAAAAATCATATCTGAAGATCTGATATACCCTCCTCATGCCATTCCTCATCTTCCCACTCCTTAAAGGGTGTGTGACCTCTGCTGAGGTCGGGTTTCTCTTTGTTCCCTCAAAATGGTCTAAATTGCCAATGTTTGGGCCAAAGAAGAGCAAGTGGAGATTAAAACGTCATAAAAACTATCACAGAGAAGGAATTCCATTTACATTACTATTTTAACAATGAATTAGCTTCAGCAAACATTGATCTTTTAGGAGTAACAGGAGGGCACGTGGCTAACTAAAAATGTAATATGATTGCCTGCTTTTGACACAGTGCCTGACTCAGGGATGGACTGGACAAAATGCTTGATAAATTAATGGAAAACTCCAGTACCTTTAGCCTTCTATTCCTCTATAGCAAAAGAAGAGAAAGGACACCAAGGAAGCCAATAATCTAACCTCCCCTTATTTGGAATCACATCTAATATACTGGGTAAACTTTGCAATGGTAAACAAGTTCATCCGACAGCTTGCTGGAAATCTTAGAAGGAAATATGCTCTTCAAAGAGCTTCCTGGTCTCCAGTTCTACTACTGATATAGCTAAATAGAATCTCAATATGCCACATTCTGTCAGAGGATCAAATCCAGTAATAAAACAGTGAGTCTTGGAGGGCAGGCCAGATAGCTAACCTGTGTTTTATTAAAAGCTTCTTCTTTTGTTGAAAGCATCTTACAAGATGCTTGCTGCCAAACAGATGGGTGGCTACCTTCCCTCATCTGCCTGCCTGAGGCTTGCCCAACTGCTCCACAGGAAATGACTGATGCTCATTGCTAAATATGAGGAAATCATCATTGCAGCATTCTGCTTCATCACTATCTGCAACTGTCTACTCTTCCTTTGCAGCAGAAAGAGGGTGTCCCAAAGAATCAAAGCTTCAAATTTTCATGAAATTCTGATGACCATGTAGCTATTGCATCTCATTATTTCAACATTCTGCTTAACCTGACCTTCAATAGCCTTAAGCACAAATGTTGTGTCTCCCTTAATCATTCTCCTCCTATTGGCCTTATGATTTCTTCACAGCTAGTCTTAAGCCATCATTAAAAATTCATTCATGTCTAATATTCATACCACGTAAGTTATACAACCCAAATCAAGCTGTTCTCATAGCCTCTGCCTTGAGTAGATTTTCTTATTCCAATGAAACTATAGTGAAAAGAATCAAGACTCTTCCCAGTACAGATATAAGGCCTAGGACTAATCATCTGGTGGTCAGTACCTATTTCTGATACGCATATATAATTAGATCAGGTAAAACGAATGCTATTTTCAAGGGGGAAGGAAGACAAGTCACAGAAGTGGGGAGGTAAAGTATATCCTGAAGTGTGTGTAGAAGAAAGGAGGGGTGGACCCCCCCAATTTTCCATGAAGATGTGGTAGGAATCAGGATAAGATGAAGAGTGGCAGGTTGACTAGATGATACATTTCTTGAATTCAGAGACCATATCTTATCATCTCTATGTCCACAGGATCTGTGGTAGTGTGTGGCACAGTGCAGGGGCTTAATACATGTTAGTTGAATAAATCAGAGGCACATATGGCTCAAGTATATTTCAGCATCAAATCTCTCTCAACACCACTGCCCAGTTCCAATGAGCTCACACAGTGATGGCCATATCCACTTTACATATATTTAGGCTAGTCCTATCAGAATTGAGCTTCAGGACCCTTACCCGAAGAGCATGCTTGCTGGCACAATATCCACTGGAAAGAGGTACAGACATGAAACCCAAGAGGCTATTCACAGTAACAATCTTTCCTTGCTTCCTCTCGATCATGTGAGGCAGAACACACTTTGTCAAGGACACTGTCCCTAAGTAGTTCAGATCTATTAGCTCCTTGTAGACATCCAGGCTGGTATCCAGACACAAAGAACGCTGGGATCTTCCGCCATTGTTGACCAGAACATCAATCTAGTTAAATAAAATCAGCAAAGAGGTGCTTTGTGGATGTCCTGCAGATGGATTGATGGAATTCCTAGGGATGATTGGCTATACTGTTAACTTGAAGAATCAATGAATAATGGTATATTTCCAGAAGTCAGCAATCAAAGAGAAAAAGTAAAAGCCAGAATTAATCTATGTAATTAAACTTCCATTTTAGGTGACTATTTATGGAAGGTAATAATTTTTATAAAAATAAAGCATCGGTAAATTTTTAGCTTATTTTGTTCTCCATGGAGAAATTGGTACTTGTTAAGGTATGAAAATACTAATCATACAACGCCACGGTCGCAGAAATTAACAGGCACAACTCTTGGGCCTGAATTCACTGTATAGAATCCATTTGCCTAAAGCCCTTTGAATGACAGCATAACTGGTGGAAATCTCTTCTGCAGTTACTTTAAAGCAAAACTGTATGAACAAAAGTTGCTACTTACTCTACCAAACTCCTGGAGAACAGCTTTGGTAGCCACTTCATGGGAGCTTGTGTCAGTCAGGTCAAGAGGCAAAACAAGTATATCTTTTCCTTTTAAATTGCTGTTCTCTAAATAAAGACAAAAATTAGTGTGGAAGTCATGCCACAGTTCAATCAAGCTCCTTGCTACTCCCGTGAACCCCACCCTACAGCAGAAGTGGGCAACAAACTCATTTCTAGGTGGCCGTGGGAAAGTTCCTCTTCAGTGATCAGGAAGAGGAGCAGGGGAAATATATCTTATCAGACAAAAAACTGGCTAACTTCACAGGAATCAGAATATCATGCCTCACCTTGAATATATACAGCCTAACATTACAATAGACTCTAGCAGAAACCAAGATTATATTATATGCTCAAAAGAAGCAAAATTTTAGAGCAAATTCTTTAGCAGTATATTTGTTTTGTAATAGACACACAAAGTTTAGTTGCTTTTCTACACCCATTAAAAAAATAATTCGTGCTTAAAATCAGTAAGAAGCACACAGTCTTATGTTCAAAAGACATATAGAAGCTTCTCTCCAGAAGTTAAGGTTTCCAGAAGGTAAACAAGGAAAAGAACACAATCCTGAAATTCCCAACAAGAAAACATGCTGAGCTGTAATTGACCCTTTCTATTTCTATTTCTATTCATCAAAAGAACAACTGAAATTATTTTCCTGGATGCTAATCTTGAACTATAACAGTGAGTAAAACAAAGAAAAACAAACAAATATAGAAAATAGAAGAGGTATAAAGGCTTCTTGGGCAAAAGAGTTCATTATGAGACATCAACCATATTAAAACAAATGAAAAAGTTGGCAAAAATGACCTGAAAGATAAAAGATCACCAGTCTGCTTCGTGCCAGATAAGAAATGCTGACACAGTTCATGTACTCCATTAGTACAGGACTGGCAAGTCACAGCAGCAGAGGAACAACCGCCCTAACAAGTGGTGCAGTGCAAAGACACAAATATCTGAGAGCAATATTGTGAAAGAGGCCTTATAGCCTTGCTGAGTGCTACTGTGGCAACCAACTCACTTCTGGGTGGTTAGTTCAGTCAGCAAAGGTAAAGATTTAAAAGGATGACAGGTGAAGAAATGACCCAAAAAGTGATCTGCTGGAAAACTCAAAATTCAGTTAAGTACTAAATTTCCCATAAGAAATTACACTTTTATTACTTGAGGCTGCTTTCATGTGTGTGACCATAACTATGTCAAAAGTCAAACAAAAATATGAATGTTGTTGCCCTTTATATGAATAGGAAACTTGCATTTTTAAACCTAATTCCATTCCTAACCTTTTATATAACAAAAATCTTGTACCATCCCATATGCCTTTAATATTTGATATTTTAGCAAAATGAGTAAGGATCCCTCCTAACTAAATTCCTATGGTGGGTAAAAACCAAACTATTCATTCTCTAAGACAAAAACATAAATCACCTATTCCCTAAAAATCCACCAGCATTTGAGAGAATTGGTGGTCACTCCCTAAAGCCAAGGAGTCGGTGCAAAAGAATAGTAGAAAGGTGGCAGAAAAGAAGAAAAAGGCAAGGGCAGCTAATTAAGAAAAGATTTTTTTAAAAAGATGATCTGGGAAAAACACCTGGACTAGTTGGCGCCAGGACGTACTGCCCATGAAAATCCCACTGTTCTCCCTAAGAAGTAAGTACCAATACTGAAAAAACAGACTGGATTCTGATTTATTTCTAGAAAGCACTGCTATTGTTTTAGATGTGCTTACCTAGGCATCTTCTTTTCACCCTTTCCAGCTCATTCTCTCTTCTGGCTGACAGCACAAGAGAAACTCCTAGTTTAGACAACTGGTAAGCCAGTTCTTCACCAATTCCACTTGAGGCTCCAGTCACCCACACCACCATATCAGTCAGCTCCCATTCTATTGAGGAAGAAGAGGAAATGGAGGGGAGGGAAAAAAGCTACGAATTACACCCATAAATCAAAGGTCAGCAAAAAATAAAAGCTTTAAACAATACCACTAAGTGTGAAGACATAATATGAAGCTTAAAATTTTAAACATCCTAAGAAAACATCAACTTAATTTTCTTTTTAAAGAAAGCAGGCATCCAAACCATATTAGTAATAGTCACCAACACAGTATTTGTGTATTCCAGAACCTTGGTAAGTTTTCCAGAGTTTCTTTCAAGATAACCCTTATAACTCCATAGTTTTACTAAAAGGCTCTGTTTATGTATTTGATCAAGAAAAGTAAAGTTAGGTAAATGGAAAACATTGCCTGGGCTCAATTTACTTTTCCATAAAATGAAAGACTAAGATTAGATGATAGCTGAAGGTCCCATTCAGTTTTCAATTCTATTATTCTAATATTTTGCAGTGGAGATATTGATGAGGAATCTGAATAGACCAAGTTCTGCTCTGTGGTATAATGGAATCATTCTGGATTTTTTTTTTTTTAAGTCAAGTTTCACTCTGTCACCCAGGCTTTAGTACAGTGCCATGGCTTACCACAGCCTCCAACTCCTGGGCCCAAGTGATCCTCAGACCTCGGCCTCCCAGGTAACTAGAATTACAGGTGTGCATCACCATGCCTGGCTGATTCTTTTGCTGTTTTTTGTTTTTTTTTTTTTTTTAGAGACAAGGTCCCACTATGTTACCTAGGCTGGTCTTGAACTCCTAGGCTCAAGCAATCTTCTCACCTCAGCTTCCCAAAGTACTGAGATTACAGGCTTGAGCCACCATGCCTGGACTTCATTCTGGATTTTTAAAGTAATAATTTTCCCATTTTCCATTTATATTTGATGCCTGTCAAAAGAAGTTCATTTTGTGAAAGTGTTCCCTAAATGCCCAAACTTTCCACTTAGGAGAAGATTCACCCAAAATGAAATGCATATGGCAGAGAGATACAGTGTTTTACTCCACTCACACAATTATGTTTCTGTTAAAGACTGTAAAGATGCCATGTGTAGTGGCTCATGCCTGTAATCCTGGCATTTTGGGAGGCCAAGGAAGGACGATTACTTGAGCTCAGGAGCTGGAGACCAGTGTGAGTAACATAATGAGACTTCATCTCTACAAAAAATAATTAGGCGGGCATGGTGGCACATGCCTGTAGTCCCTGCTATTCAAGAGGCTAAAGTGGGAGGATCACCTGAGCCCACAGATCAAGGCTATAGTGAGCCATGATTGTGTCACTGCAGTCCAGCCTGAGTGACAGAGTTTAATATTAAGACAGACTTGCTGGGTTCTTTTGAATCAATTGAAAACAGATGGCAGCTCTAACAATGAAGATTTTTCTTTAAAACAGAATTGTTAACTTGGAAAGATTTGTTGTTAAAGACTTCTTTTTGCACAAAATAGCCTACTTGATATCTGGCCATGGGTGTGTTTAAAACAGAAAATCTTGAGGAAATATAGAAATAGAGTGCAAAAGTACTTGGTTAAACAGTAACCAACTCCAAATATTTTAATTCCAGATTTGTGTCATCTCTGGTACGGTGTAGAACTCTTAGGAAATATATATGAAGGTGAGTTAAATCTGACTAACCTTATGTAAACCATGTCTGGAAGAGAATATTAACAAAGATTTTGGTCTCAAGGTTTGTTTTTACCCATCAGATCAACTGTTGCAAAATTCCTTAAGTGTATTAGTATCAGAATTGTGAATAAAATGGGAGAATTTTGCCTGTATATATTGATAATCCTGCTCTGTATTTTATCTCACTTGTTCTTCCAGGATTTTCTGTATACTCAACTACTTGGCTTGTACAGTTCTAATCATCCTTTAACAATGTTTAAACATTCAGTTTGTAGATTCCATATGGTAAGAAAATCAATATCAGAAGTAATGATGAAATGTTATAATAGGAAAAGAGATCCACGGATATAAGTTATGGTTATTAGATCATGGAATATCTTAAGTATTGGTATAAGAGTTGATGGATGACTTCAGCTGTATGAACAGATAATAGCCATATTGCAAACATTATGCATCCCTCTATGACCTAATTTACAGACATTTAAATTGTGTTGCAATTCTGTTTTCCTGTTTTATAAAAAGCTGTTTCGGGGGGGAAAAATCAAAACCTGTCTTCTATATGACAATCCCTCACAGCTGAAAGGGAAGACAGCCACTATGTCCTCCCTAAGTCCTTGCTTCTCTTGCTTCTCTAAGGCTAAATTAAACCCATACAATTTCTGCTGCCTTTCCTTGCATAACATGAGGCTTCCTCACTCTTCCACCCATATCCTCTGTACCAGGTCTAGTTGGTCAATATTTCTATCGAAGGGAGGTGACCAGGGCAGGACAAAGGAGTCAATAAGGGTCTAGACAGTGTATAGCAGGATGAGATGACTGAATCATCCTTGTCCCCAGAAGGTAGGGTCTATGAGGGCCTGGACTGTGGCAGGCTGGGTCACTGCTGTGTCCCTAGTGCCAGGCACAGAGGCTGTTATATACGAGCAGGTATTCAGGAAACATCTGTCGTTGCAGTTGTTGCTTCAGACATTGATGTCTGTAGATGCAGCCCAGGCTTGCCTAATCTTTACAATAGCAACCTCACAAAATTTCACAATTGACACATAATAAGATGACTGTCAACTAAAACCTGAGTTTTCTTGCTGTTGAAACTTTGCCTACTCTACACTTGTGCCACGGATTTTTCTGGACCATTTAAATACCTAAAATGAGTCAACCCCTAAATTTCAAGAGACATGCTGGGAAATGCAGAAAATTTCTCTAGAACAGAAGAGGCAGGAAGTGGTGGTCTCCAAAGAGGCATATTGGGTGGCCAGGGTATGAGGGTATAAGATCTTTACTTTTTACCAAATATCCTTTTGCATTTTTAAATGTTATATCACTGGAGTGTGTTATCTGTGTTTTATAGTGATAAAAATAATAAACCTGCAGAAAACTCAAGGAGGATAATTGTTTTTTCCTTTTTCATCTTTCTTTATTAAAAAGCTGTTTTAAAGAGTTTGACCCTCTTTCCAGTCTGAGCTGTTTTGGGAATCTGAGTCTATATCCATGTTCCTTTAATCTTTTCTTCTTTATTGCTCCACATTCCCACTGAGAGCCTTTTTAGACACTTTTTTCCCCTAAAAATCTCCCATGAAATTTTCATTCCACAAATATACTATATATCCATGTATTTACTGTGCATATAACTGGGCTTTATACATAAAAAGAGTTCTATAAAGCTTACTCCTTATTTAATGCTGGTACAAGATTGACTAAATTTTAAAAATAAGTTAAAAGTTAAAATTTAAAAATTGGTAACACCTAACTTCATAACCATATTTGCTGAATGACTTGGTGTTTTTGTTTTGTTTGTTGTTGTTGTTTTTTGAGATAGTGTCTCTCTATCCTGCCCAGATTGGTACTGAACTCCTAAGCTCAAGTGATGCTCTTGCCTCAGCCTCCCTAGTAGCTGGGACTCCAGGTTGCCTACCACTGTGCCTGGCTTTTACTGAATAATGTTCAATGTAACTTATTTACTTAGCTAAATGGTAATTTATCAAATTATGTGTGCAAATTTACAAATTATTTAACTATATAATAATAGCAATGCAATTATATTAGAAATCTTTCACCTGTCATTTTCCAGCAAAAGCACAACTGAAAACATTAAGTGAATTTCATAAAATTATTTCAGTGGGCTTTTACATTTTTGCTTAATATGAGAAAACAACTTTTAGTAGCTTAGAGACATTGTCAATATTTTTTCTTTTTTTACACTTGACATAATTTCATGGACTTAATAACTTTTGTAGGGTTAAAACATTAAATACAAACTATTTAATCCTCCAAGAACAACTTAACACCAAAGTACAAAGATCAAATACAAATAACATCCACAAGGCAGCTAACAGGCGTGCACATTCCAGATAGAGCAATTGGTCAAGAAAATGCCCTATAGTTAATAAAACTGTGTCGTTTTGGGATTCTTGCCCATCCCAGACATTTATTAGCCATAGTTTTGTAGAACTGATGTTGCTTACACATTGTGTATGTTATAACCAAGAAAATCCAACCAGAGAAATGAAATACTACAGAAGATTTTGTCCAGGTAAGGTTGAGCATTGGAGGGGCACAAACTACTGTACTATCAGACTTTTTTCAGGTCCCCAAGAACCAATTCTCATCTCCTCCAGATTGATATCACCAACCTTGTTCTATCCCCCTCCACCGCCCATTTAAAAAACCTGGTCTATCTTCTGAGATACTCTCACTTCCAAGCAAACCTCACCAATGCTTTGTGTATTTTCATGCCAGAAACTTAGATCAGGGAAACTCCATTTATCCCAGTTTTTAATAAGAATCCAAAGCTTAACTTTGGGAAAGTCATTTAATTTCTCGGATCATCAGTTTCCTTATCTGGAAAAGAAGACAAATAATGCCTACTTTATGAGAGTTGTGCTTTGTGAGAGTTGTTGCAAAGGTTAGAGGTTACATGTGTCAAGTGCTGGGCACATAGCTTAAATAGCATATAAAGTATGTTTAGGAAACAAAAACACATATTTCTACAACCATATATACGAAGCAAGGCACAGATACTAGTGGGATAGGCGGATTGCCCCTTAATATGCAATAAGGATCTCGCTCTAGGCAAACTGCCAATTCAGTTCTTTCTAGCGTTATACTTTCGTCCCAAAGAGTAGGTAGGTGGATGACTCCGTACGATCTCAGCTTTTATTTCAAAACTCCAGCAAAGAAGAGGAGGATAAACAACTTTAGGAAGTAGAAAGACCTTTGCAAGGACTGGAGGTTCCCTTACAAACGCAGGGGGAAGCTCGTTTCATGCGCGGTTCTCTTGACACTACCCCAAAATTCTTGGTCGCCCCGCCAATTCCAGCGCTCTCTTATACTCTGGCACCCCCGGAGACATTTCCACGTCTGAAAGGCAAATCCGTGCCATCATCCGACCAGGACAGAAGACAAAGGGACAAAATCGCCTCTAGGCCTGTACCTCTTCCTCCCCAACCCACGGTACACCAGAAAGGCGCAGCCACGCCTTGGGGCAGCTCCCTGCCCACAAGAGGGCCCCAGGACGACGTGGGCCAGATCAGGAATCGCCTCGGCCGCTCGAGCCCGGCCTCCCACACGATAGGGGTCGCGGCGGGTCCTCACCTGGGCGTCGCCCCTGCCACTCGGCCCACAGCAGCGTCAGGTCGCCGTCTGCCCGCAGGAAGCGCAGCAGCTGCACCGCGAGCAGGAGCAACGCGCACAGCGCCAGCAGCAGCGCCCAGCTCATCGCCGCCGCGCAGGCCCGGCTGCACCAGAGGAAGGTGCCCCAGCACCGGAGCCGCGCCGCAGTCCCCAGGGATCGCAGCGCCGCCCCCTCCCGGCCAGCCGCCAACGGCTCCGCCCCGAAAGCACGAGGAAGGGAGGAGTCCCCGGGGCGCGCCCACATGCGCACGGAGGCCCCATATGCGCACTGAGGCCCCCTAGCCGCCTCCCTGCAGTGCCCGATGCCTGAGTACGTTGACCGAGCGATTACGACCCACTTGTCGCTTGCGTGTGCGCCTAATAAAGAGAGGTCGCAGCGGGAACAAAAGGCATGGATGGCTTAATGGTTTGATAAAGTGGTCGCAGGATTTGAAATGACAAGAACGATTCTTCAGTAGTTGTTTTGAGGGCAAGTAGTGGTTTTTTTTTTTTTCTTTTGACTTCAGAGGGTACATGAGCAGGTTTGCGACATGGGTATATTGCATGATGGTGAGGTTTGGGCTTCTATTAAACCCGTCTCCCAAATAGCGAGCATGGTACCCAACGGGTAGTTTCTCAACCCTCGTCCCTCTCCCTTTTGAAGTTACCAGGGTCCGTTGTTCCCCTATTTGTGTCCGTGTGTACCCAATGTTTATCTTCCAGAGGCAAATAGTGTTTTACATGGAGAACACAATCATTACAACTTTGAAGGTGTCTGCTTCCTCTTTCTGTTCCTCCTTCTTCTCTCCTCCTCCTTGAGTTTCTCCTCCTCTTTATTTTTCATTTTTCCTACACTGAATTAACCCACTCACGGAGTCAGGTTGGCCCTGTGTCAACTTAAGTTTGCCTGTTGCAAGTGACATTTGCTCACTGTTGTCCAAGAAAGTGCTGATTCAGATACTATGTTAGGTGAGTTCTTAGGGTGAGAAGCACAGGCAGGGGAGCTGCATCCAGGGGGGTGGAGTCAGTGCTATACATTCTGGCACCCCGAATAAATGATTTCCTTATGTGAACCCATTGGAATATGTAGGGAGGTTGAAATGAGAAAATGCATGTAAAGGGCATGGTGCCTTGTACACAGTACTTGTGTTCATTATTTTGTAGTTATTGATATTTTCTTTTTGAATTATTCTTTCTGTTGTAATGATCCTTTCTCGGACTTCAACTTGAAGGAGAGGGACTCTGTTTATTAACTTCTATATTCTGTACACATGAAAGCCAAATCAATGTTTAAACTGTGAGAAATCAGAAATTGTGGTGATGTGATTCTGGGTCCCTGAGGAAAGTGTGAGCCAGCTAGACTTTGATCTTCCCTGATTGTTTGCCCCAGTTATGACTTGAAATAATACTGCTCAAGGGTTGCTTTCATTGACTTGTCACCTTTGCAGGGTGGGTTCTCTTTTCCTATAAGTGAATTTTAGAATAAGGTGCTTAAAATTCTCTCAGTAAGTCTCATGATAAACATTATTTTCAAAAGTTTCCTCTGAGCTTATTTACCCTCTGGAAAATGAAAGGGTTGAGTTAGATTTAGTGTCCCAAGCTGGGCCTTGGATGGATAAACTACATTCTCTTTCACAAACTCCAGCTGTGGGGAGGGTGAGTGGGGGACAGAGTTGCAAAGGGCAATTATGAAAGTAGAGGATGGGACAGTGGGCCCAGGTCTGGAAAACTGACAGGAAGAGAGTATGATCTTGGCTCTGTCCAGCCCTAGAAATTAAAACCTCTGTGTGAGCTCTGAATGTTGAAGTCTCAAAACTGTGTCTGTTGTTTAATCTGATGATTTGGTCTAGTATAAATGTCTCACTCATTCCACTGTTTGTACTTGTCAACTCATAGAGTTAAATATCTCATTTATTAATTTATAAACTGTAATGGTTAATATGGTGTGTCAACATGGCTAGGTCATGGTACCCATTGTTTAGTGAAACATTAGTCTAGATATTGCTGTGAAGGTATTTTTAGTTGTGATTAACATTTATGTCAGTAGAATTTTCGTAAAGCAAGTTACCTACCCTCATAATGTGGGCAGACCTCATCCAATCAGTCAAAGGCTTTAAGAAAAAGGTCCCTGGAAGAAGTGGAAATTTTGTCTCCAAACAGCCGTGGCACTGTAGCTGCACCATCAATCCTTTCCTGGGCCTCCGGCCTGCCCTATAAGAGGGAGACCTAAAAAAACCCAGAATTATCTTTTGGAAGGCAGACCCCTTGTATTACGGTTCCCTTACTAGGTAAATATTCTAGGAACCCATCAGCATCAGTGTATCAGCTAGCGTGTTGTGAAAGGCTGCGTTGCAAAGTAAATGTTCTGAGTAGTGGCAAATAGGGGACTGGTTCTTCCACCATGACAACACACCTGCCACACCATGCTGAGTGTTGAGCAGTTTTTGACCAAAAAACCATGACCTCCATGCCCCATCCTCCCTATTGACCTGATCTCACCCCATCTCTCCTGAGCAACTTCTTTTTTTATGTTTCTCCAGATGAAAAAAGTCCTCAAGGGGAAACGTTTTGCCAGTGTGGAAGAGGTGAAATAAAAAACAGCAAAAGCACTACAATACATCAAAATTGATAAGTTCAAAAAGTTTTGATAATTGTTTTGCATCAAACGAAAAGTACTTTGAAGGTGACTGAAGTACCTAATGTGGGTGGGCCTCATCCAATCAGTCAAAGACTTTAAGAAAAAGGTCCCTTGAAGAAGAGGGAATGCTGCCTTCAGACAGCTGCATCAGCAATTCTTCCCTGTGCCTCCTGCCTGCACTGTAGATTTTCGTCTTACTAGAACTCACACTCACATGAACCAATTGCTTAAAGTAAATCTCTCTCTTTCCCTATGTTTATATTAGTTCCGTTTCTCTGGAAGACCTAAACTAATACACGAAGTATAATAAAACCACACAGTCATTTCACCTCACTAGTTTTTGCATTGGAAAGGGAAAACAAATTCATGTACAAATATGTTAGGGTTTCAGTGGAACTTTAAGTTCCTTGAGATAAAGTAGCAAATCTAATGCTTCTTTTGAAGAGTCTACATCACTTAGCTTAGTGCTGATATGACAAACAATAAGCCTACATTGATTGAATTCTTATTCTTATTCTTGAAAACTTATCCTTGAAAGTTAAACCTCCTTGAAGTTCTCAACTAAAGTTAATAGTAGAATAAGAGTTGCTAGAATTTAATCAATCAATCTTCTCTGGGTATTAATAAAATGCTTTGAATTAAGTCCCACCAAGGGGCCCCAAAGCCTTTTATATCATTGGTAACCCTAGTTTTTAATTTTAGCTGCGATAGAATGGTATCCCGCCTTCCCTCCTTTTGATGGCCTAGCATCAGACCAGATCAGGCTAGGTCAACCTGGACGAAAGCAGTTACATATAAGCAAATTACCACCTTCTACAACAAAAGCGTTTTTAAAATAACTTTAAAAATCCAGATCCTCCAAAACCAGCAGTCTCTGGAAAAAAAGAAAAGACCCTATGAGTGGAAACAGGAACTGAGGAAGTCTAGGTAGAGAATATTCTCCTCAAGAACAAGATAGTATTTGTGGTTTTTGATTGGAGGAGTCATCACAACCCTTAGTTGCCTTTGGAAATTTGTTGGATGCACTTTGTCGCCACAGTGCCAGTTGGGTATAGTGCTATCCAAGTGCTAAAGATCTGGGAGGCTTGTAAAGACATATGCAGCAAAACGCTGTCCCTCCCCAAGAGCCCTCAGCACCGCACGCAGAAATCCTGAAGCCTGGCCATGTGGAAAGGAGCTGCACCATCTATCTGCTGCTGAAGAGAAGGGTTCCCCCACAAGCTCTGGCTTACATCTGCCTGGTCCTACTCCAGACACAATCCTTCGGATCATTGTTTAGTATTCCCATATTCTGCAGGTAGCAAGGTCATATCTGAAGGGTCTTGTGTTCATATAAGTGACTTCCTTGTCTTTAGTAATCTCATGCAATTCTTAAATAGGAACATCTCACTGCACCATTGGCCACATACAGGTCCCCATATCAGTGCATTGATTCTTTAGATTAGCCCATTTCCACGTTTCCTTGAATCTCTTAAACATGAACCGTTCATTATATGATTCTCTCTCTCTCAATAAATGCCTTGTTTCAAAGTCTTCTTTATATATCTTAATAAATGATTTGCTAGTGGCGTTGATTACTCAAACCTACACATGTGCAGGGTGCAGTGGCTAGCATCTGTCAGAATCCCACCTACTCCAGAGGTTGAGGCAGGAGGATTGCTTAGTGTCAGGAGTTTGACACAACCTTGGGAACATAGTGAGACCTTGTCCCTTAACATAAATACATAAATAAATACGTATGCATGTGATAAAATTGCATAGAACCTCATATAACATGTACATCTGAAGCTGATGAAATCTGAATAAGTTCTGTGGATTGTGCCAGTATCAATTTTCTGGTTCTGTTATTGTTCTAAATTTATGTAAATGTTACTGGGAGAAAAACGGAGTGCAGGAAACATAGTATCTCTCTGTTCTATTCCACCTTTTCAACTTCCTATTGATCTATGATCATTTTAAAGTAATACATTTTTTAAAATTCAGAGCAAATTTCCAATTTCTTTTCAACTTCCTATTGATCTGTGATCATTTTAAAGTAATACATTTTTTAAAATTCAGAGCAAATTTCCAAAACAATGAAAATATTTTCTTAAAACTCTAAAATTGTTAAGTGCCTTTTTGTCTCCTTTTTCATTTTTCTCTTCTCTTTGTAGCTAGGACCAGCATTGGTATAAGAGGAGTAAGCAGCAGTTCTATGCTCTTAGATTTAAGAATAAAATTCCCCCATACATCATCTAATCTGTTTGTAAACAGGCTGCCACTTCTCATAATTTCACTCTTTATAAGATGAAAGCATTATGTTATAGTAGAACTTGACATATTAGAAAGCTTAGACATTGAAAATCATTAGTCTATCTAACTAACCCGTTAAGGGTTTGTAGAACTTGGGACTCAAATTTTGGAAGATGGCTCAGAATGAGATATGTACTAAATCAGTGAGATGTGGAATCCTACTGTCATGTGACAGATAATATACTAAAATACATTGACTTGGGTTTTAGTAAACGTTACAGCAGAGTTGAATAGAGTTAATCAGTTAAGGTTTTCTAGAATGCCAGTCCACCTCAAGGCCTCACACAT